GTAAAAATCTAATGAAGGTAAAATTCTGTTCATAAAATAAAATTATAAATGCTAAAAATTCTAACTAAAGATGAACAGTTAAGAAGAAAATTGCATTCTAAGCAAAATCTTTGACAAAAAGTTAAAGTTACCAATGGGATTCGAGCCAGGGACCTCTTGCATATCAGCCGAGCACTCTATCCACTACACCACGAACACCGATGGCAGTACATCGTATCGTTGTGGAAATGGCGTTCCCGGCCCCCACAACCCGGTGTCGTCACTGCCGGACGCCTAATCTATGTCCGGTTACCGGATGCGTATCCTCTGTGAACCTAAAAACGTGTGGCACAGTGATTGAAAGACTAATCATTTATGCTTTATAGCCTAGTTACTGTAGGAAATATATAATGTGTAATGTGTATGCAAACTGCCTTTCATGCACTCGAAATACTTTCCATACTCGCCTATAGCTAGTGCCAAAACATTTCCCAAATAACTATTTCCCATAGGCCTATGATTTAAATAACCCCCACCGCAGAAAACCTGCAGATTAAGTGAATTTCCATTTGCCTGATTGGATTTACTCTTAAATAGCTCCTTAAAATATCACAATTAAGTTACAGTATTCCCTATTTAAATAACATTGGTTTAGTGAGTCTACTTAGGTTTGCTGCAATCAGGAGGGTACGGTAAAACTAAAAAAGTGTTTTGTATGTTTATTCTCCATGAGTAGGCCTAATAAATATTTTTTATTTATGTAGTTTTTTAAATTTTCTCTGTAACCTTTATGCTTATAATAACGCTTTAGTATAAACTTAGGCCTACTAAATTGTTTGTAAATAAAATTGTATGTTTCAGAGTCAATAAAGGAAAAACCCCAATTTCACCCAATAAAACCCCCATAACCCCTGTACGGTACCCATAGTTTGATCATGCTGGTTCGTGAACTCGTTCGAATAGATGCATACCATAGCCTATTTCATCAAAGTGGATCATTTTTGCCTTGAGTTATCGTGTTAACGGACACACATAAAAATTAATTTGAACGAATGGTGTTTTTGGCCTCTAGGGACCTCAGAATGACAAAGCAAATCGGTCCGGGTGCATGTCTCAGGTCTTACCATGAGTACTACAGCATTTTGATAATTCCGTATAATGGGAAATTTGCTTCAAAAATAGGCTTAAAATAACAAAAACATTTAACTTAAAATAGCCTAATAAAGTTGTTTCTTTTTGATCATTTTTGTAAATTTTTATGTCTAAAAAAGAAAGAAATTACTACATTTCGGAACCCTAAGTTGATTTATAAGGTCTAGTCTCATAACTAATCATATCAACAAGTTTTGGTTATTGTTTCTGTATGTTTAAGTTAACTTTCATAAAATATAGCCTATTTTGTTTTTGATTCAATAACTTACTTAGTGAAGTTAGGCCTAGTTTCATTTACAAAACATCAATAAAAACTCTAATTCACTTAACTCAGATAGATGTTTACATTAATTTAACAGCAATACAAACTTACACAGCAATACAGTTTATAACTCGTTTCAATGTTTAAATTGGGAACATTTTTGGCTGCACTTTAGCATCTGTCCTACACTCATTCGAATGCAAATTATCAATAGGCCTATATTGATTATTTTATTCGGTTAATTAAGTAGGTTAGGCTAACCAAACTTGATATATCAAATGAAGTACGGTACCGGTACATAAGAAATAATTGATATATTCATTTGAATTAGTGTAGGACAGATATTTTAACTTACTTAAGTGCAGGGCTGTACTTTACTTGACGTCCTACACTCATTCGATTGTTTTTTCGATTCGATATTTTCATTCGATTGTTTCATTCGATATATCGTTTGGTTAGTTAGGTTAGGTTAACCTTACCTAACTAACCAAACGATATATCGAATGAAGCAATCGATTAATCGATATATAGATCGATATTTTCATTCGAATGAGTGTAGGACGTCAAGTAAAGTGCAGCCAAGTGCAGCAACAATTTTTAGTAGGTACTTAGAGATATAAGTTTTTAAACCGAATAATAATCGCTACAAAAGTTATCAATATTACAACCGAATAAGATAAGTTATAAATCACATTTACAGGTCCTCTGCGGAACTGTAAGTTAACTCACCCTAACCAAAGAGAGTTTTAAACTAACTTTTGCATTTCAACCGATTAAAATATAAATTGCATTCGTAGGTCCTTTGCGGAACTTAAGTTAACTTACCCTACCGTACCCAAAGAGAGTTTTAAACTAACTTATCCATTTCAACCGATTACGATATAAATTGCATTCACAGGTCCTCTGCGGAACTTAAAGTTAACTTACCCTACCCAAAGAGAGTTTTAACTTAAACTAACTTATGCATTTCAACCGATTAAGATATCAATTGCATTTGTAAGTCCTTTAAGGAACTGTAAGTTAACTTACTCTACCCAAAGAGAGTTTTAAACTAATTCATGTATTTCAACCAATTAAGATATAAATTGCATTCGCAGGTCCTCTGCGGAACTGTAAGTTAACTAAAGAAATAAACCCTACCCAAAGAGAATTTTACTACCTATGCTTATTAGTCTTAGGGAGGCTGAGTAGGCCTAGGTCTAGATGGACTTAAAAGTAAAACAAACCCCTAAACCTTCATCAATCACTCAGAGAGCTCTTACCTACCTACCGGATAACAGCAGACAACCAAGATCTGACAAAAAGAAAAATGTTTGAAAAGGCAATAACTTACTAATAGACCTAGTGTGCTGTAATGTTAATATTGAAAATTAACATAATGAATAGCTCCAACTCAGTTAAAATTTTTAGCGAGGTTAAGATAACAGTAACAGTACCTACACTAAGCAACCCAACGTCTGTGGTCACTGGTCTTACAACAATAACATAACCTACAAAACGACCATACCATGGCTACTGACGACACTGACTGACACTGTACTCGTACTGTAACGACTTCAACTTGTAAAAACTTAAAAAAATTAACTATTATTTTCATCGATTTCATTTCAATAAACTTATGTGGATATCTTTTAAATTCCCCATTTCTTTTAGTAGACCAATTGTTATTTTTTTAGAAACCGTGGAATGAAAGATTTCTTAAGCAGACCTGTATACTCCATGGACAGAAGAAACAAGAGACTTTGGTCGTTCTCTGTGTCTCAAATATACGACAAAATTGTTGCTTGTAAAATGTAAACAAAAAATAGAAGAAGAAGGTAGCTCTTAATGTTATTCTTATGGGGGAAAATTAAAATGGTTTTTTTAAGATTTTATAATTATTACAGAATAAATATTCTTCAACAACTGATATTCTCAAGATATTATGCTATAAAATCTTTGTGCAACACTTCAAGTTGGATATACATAGTATTTCTAAGGCTATTGCGTCCCAAAGAGATGCATTTTGTCATGTATGAGAATTCACTTCGTTCATTCAATTAGTTTAAAATATTTAAAAACCTCAGGCTTTATTCAAATTATAGTAATATTTTGTAATAAATTTAATAACCTTACAGAAAATGTAGGCCTACCTTAAATTATGTGACAATTTTGGTGACACGTATTCTAAATTACTGTTTTCCTCTTTCTGCGGAATAGGCTAAGTAAAAAATGATTACATCTAAATAAAAATCTTCAGTTGGCACAAGTATTGTTAATCATTAGAGTGCCAGGCGAGAAATAAAAGTAACGCTCAAAAAATGCCGATGATTTTTCCCGAAGGTCGCGCTAAAAATGCCGAGCGCGATCTGGCGATTTTTAGGTTAAAATTTTGTAAAAATCTAATTTCGACATTTCGACCAACGAAAATCGATGTATCGCATCTAGTAACTTTCGACTCAATGTTAATATATGGGTTAAAAGAATCCGAGTATCCATTCGGTTGTTATGACAACTGTTCGATCATTACGAAACGTCCGGTCAGCCGGACGTTGGCACTTTTGGCTCGTTCTAAAAACGTCCGGTCGGCCGGACGTCGGCACTTTTGGCTCGTTTTAAAAACGTCCGGTTCTCCGGACGTTGGCACTCAAAGGGTTAATTGTGACATTCACCAACATTTATTACTGAAAGAATGTATATTAGGTAGGCTACTCATAGTTGCTACGCTCATCATGGCTTTCACATATAGAGTTTTCTGTACTAATTTGAACTTAATATATGTTTTCTCTCTTGTATTTTAGTTTAAAAACTCATTACCTATATGAGTTGATTGATAAAAGTTTTCATATTGATTGTAACCTTTAAATTGTTTTATCTTTCAGGGATAATATTTTTATTATTGTTGTGTTCTTTGTAAATAACATTTTAAATATATTTCGGTAACAATAAAACTTGTTTTATTTAGTCTTCACCTACCTTCCAGTTTTTTAAGTCCTTTAGTGAAAAAGTAAAAAATATTTGGCTGAAATTTAACTGCAGTAAAAAGTTGGTGAGTTGACGGGGTTTGAACCCAGGACCTCAGGGACCAAAGTCCTGCGCTGTAACCACTAGACCAGCTTGTTCCCTTGCTAAAGAGTGGCATAGTTCTTCTGTCTAATAGACTTACCAGTGACAAAGCACTGGGTAGTACCAGTGACAAAGCACTGGGTAGTATCAATAGTCAATGGTAGTATGTTAAGCTTGTGTTTACTCCCCATACAGATACAGCAATAAAATCCTTAGTTTCCAATATCCAGGTAAAAACTGTAATCCATGTTTGATCTCTTACATAAAATTCAAGGTAGCGACAGTTTGGTTGTAGCTTCTAAAACTATCATACATGATAAGGAAAATAGGAAAGATAAGTTATTCTTTAGTACGGTTAACTTAAATATTTTTTAACAGTTTTTTTAACACTAGCCTACGGGCAAAAATCTATGGCAATGGTTAGCCGGGAACCCACTTGCAGCCAAAGAGAGAAAGACCCCTGCTAAATTTAAAAAAGCGAGGCTGACTTTAGGCTCTGATTCGTATCAAAGTGGCATTCCTTGCATTCCAAATATCTGTCGAGGTAAAAGATTCATAAAAACATTTTATAAAGCAACATCTTTATTATTAAAGTGCATTCTCATAATTATACGTAAACATCTTTTATAGGTTAGTATCATTAAGTAAACAAAGCTTTTCAGTTAAAACACATCATATTTTGTTCTGAATTGAAGCAAGAGTTAAATCCTCCACAAGTGTAATAAACATAATAAAACAAAACTTTTCAATGTGCACAATAAAATTGTTAGGTAGCCTACAATCATTGAAACATCAAATTTGACCAATAGTATAAAAATTCACTCCCAGCATTGAATTCTATTTAAAACAAAAACCTTAAATTAAAAGCTGGATCTATTGATGAAGGTTAATAAATAATTGCATCTTAACATTCAGTAGGCTAAGCTGGACTGTGTAGGCCTAATAAATCATGCTTAAAAGATTACTTGCAGGAATGTGAAAAGAAAAATTTACATACACCTTCATTAAGTCATTGAGTTTAGTTTTAAACACTTTTCATAGCCTAGGCCTATAAGTAAAAAAGTTTAGTTTTCATTTTCAAGTCTAAGATAAAAACTAATAGGCTAAGTTAGCCTAGTTAAAATAGATGTAGCCTAAATTGTTAATTTTTTTGCACATATTGAAACACTCCCATAATCAAATTAGCCAACTTAGCTAAATTTAAATGGGAACAACAAAATATAACTCTGAAACAGCCTTTGATGTCTTAAACCATGAAAAATTAATTATGGCCAGTAATGAAATAACAAAAAAATAACTTTAAATCTTTAGTAAGTTAGGCCAAAGATATCTAGGCTAGGCCTACTTAGTTTATCGCAAGTTTTACAGCAAAACATAAGTTACATACCGGTGCAAACTAGAAAATTAATAGGGCCTACAGAAGGTTACAAAATTAATTATAGCTAAAAGAACTTGTAGGCTAGCTTTAAAAAAAGGAGTAATCTTACATCAAGTATTTACATATTGTCGTTTGGTGAGCGGATGTCATCAATCTTGAGAATCATTTTCACCAACTGTGTTGCAAGAAGTAACTGTTGCTTCTTGCTGTGCAGAGTTTCGATGACATGTTGCTCCTTCATGTCACTTGTTCCTTTCAGCATACAGTCAATGCCAAGGGCAGGGTTCTTCTCTTGAATTTGTCTTGCCTTTACCTCAGTCAGAGTATGAATTGGAGAAAGACCAGAATTCTCGGCCAGCGCCAATGGAATGCACTCCAAAGCTTCTGAAAACGCCCTGAATGCGTACTGCTCCAATGAAGATATCTTGTCGGCTTCCTTAGAAGTAGCGATAGCACACGAGATTTCAGCGGCACCTCCTCCATACACAACACGATTATCTTGAACAAGATTCCTGACAACACACAGAGCATCGTGAAGACTTCTCTTAGCTTCTTCAATGATCATCTTGTTACCTCCGCGAATGAATATGGTTACCGCTCTTGAGTTTTTACATTCTTCAATAACCAGCATACGATCTTTTGTTGTTCCAAAGCTCATTTCACGAACCAGTCCCGCGTGCCCCAACTTGTCTGGTGAGAGTTCCTCAAATCTAGGAACAATACGACCACCTGTAGCAATGGCGATCAACTCAATTTCTGGTCCTCCGACCCAGCGTACAGCTGGCAACTCCTTTTGCAACAATAGATGGTTAGCCTCGTCATCAAAACCCCACTGACAAATAGCCAATGTTGCACCAGCACCTTTAACTTGATCAACCATTTCAGTAAACTTTTCAGCTTCATATTGACGAAGAGCTTTGTAGTCTTCAACAGATGTTACATCCAGCTTATGCTTGGTCTTAGGCTTTGGGGGCTCAAACGGACAGGTGAGAATAGCAAGTTTAACGTCTTTTAATACTTTGGGCATCTGAGGATGCGAGAAGTCTTTGTCTACGACGACGCCTTTAACAAGCATTGTATCTTCAAGACGGCCACCTACTTTTCCTTGGACTTTAATAAGTTCAAAATTCACATCTCTTTTCTGCAGATCAGCCACTGCCATTACAGCTTCCACTGCAATTTCTGCCATTTGCCGATGACATTTGTTCACAATCTTTGAGCCAAGAGTAGTCATGGCAGTTTGAATCAAAGGCTCCAGGTTAGACTGCTCAACAGGAAAACTATCTGCAATTTCATCTAAATGCTTAACTGCACATTGTGCTGCTAATTCGAAACCATCAGCGATACGGATGGGATGTATTCCTTTGTCAAGAAGTACTTCTGCCTGGTCCAAGAGGGCACCGGCTAGTACCACAACTCCTGTGGTACCATCTCCTATTTCATCATCTTGAGATTGAGATAACTGAACCATTAATTTGGCAATTTCATGGTCGACGTCCATTTGCTTCAGAATTGTGGCTCCATCGTTTGTGACCGTGACATCACCATCAGGCGAAACCATCATTTTGTCAAGTCCTTTAGGTCCTAGTGAGGTTTTTAAGGTATTAGCAATAGATCTACCAGCTAAAATATGAGACTTTATAGCATCATTACCGGTTAATCGCTTTTGCCTGTCTTGATCCTTGATAATAATGAATGGTCGTCCATACTCATCAAAGGCGATTGACCCGGGGAAACTTGCCATTTTAACAAAAATAAATAAATTAACTTGTTTGGATTTCACAAACAAAATAAATATTAACTCACTTCAAATAATTATACTGCTTCATTAAACTTAAAATGTTATTGGTGCTTACACTTCGGTGTTAACCTTAACTTAACTTCACTGAAACCACGAGACCCGGAGACCCACAAAACAAGAAAGAAGAAAGAAGTGGGAAGGGAAGGCAGTGTTGCCACCGCGTTGTTGCGATTTTACCCTAAAGGCGGGCTAAAATTACCCTAAATTACCCTAAATCTACTTTGAGTTACCCTAAAAATTACCCTAAATGTTAATATTTGTGTTTAATGCTATAAAACATTGTTAAAATCATATAAATCTTACATAAGGTGGTTAATTATACTAAATGAAGTTCCAATATCAATCAATTAACGTAAAATTATACTCAATTCTAAAAAAAACCACCCGAAAGAAGAACAAAATGTTGATTTTGATCAGCTCTATCGACTATCGTGTATAACGAAAAATATCGAATCAAGAACTATCGTATTTTTTTACTGTATCGACCCATTACTACTGTTTTTGGACAATCATATCTTTAAAATACAGTACAGTACCACCACATTTCTTGAAACAATTTGTAAAATAATCCAGTTTAATTCAATTCAATCACATAATTAAATATCAAACCCAGTAATGAATAATATTTCATATTTTATTAGGCCTATAACTTGTTATAGAATCAAATACATTCTAAAACAGATAGTTCCGAACTATTGAGAAGATCGATTAGGATAACGTATGAAAAATTCATCATAGCAATCGATTTAAACCGGTTGAATCGAATATGATGGTTTGGCCATAGTATGTAATGAACGTTTTTTGCCAAATTTTGAAGTTTTTTTCATTTTTTTAGTAAAATTTCCATTGTTATGCTAACTTTTAGTTTTACCCTATAATTACCCTAAATCTACCATTACCCTAAACTTTACCCTAAGACCAGTAAATTACCCTAAAAAAGGGTAATTACCCTAAAAGTGGCAACACTGCAAGGGAGTGAGCGAGGAGAGGGACAGACAGTCAGACAGAGACAGACGAGAGAGCAAGAGCTTTGCAGTGCACTAGAGCTCCAAAAATGGTGTTTAGGTTAAACAAGAAGAAGAACATTAGTAGTAAAATCAAAGAAAAATAACTGTTTAGTCACGGCCACCTTTAACTACAGTACAGGCCGCGGCCCTGTAGAAATAAAATGCGAATTAATTAGCTGATGTCACCTGTCTGCCATGTTATCTTATGTGACGTCTGTCACTAAACATTAAACAACACCACTTGCAACGTTGCCAATTCTACCAGACCGCGGCCTGGTGGCCGTGATTGGCAATGTCGCAAATGGTGTTGTTTAGTGACAGACGTCCAATAAGATAACATGGCATGGCAGACAGGTGACAATCAGCTCATTAATTCGCACTTTATTGATTTATGTAAACAAATTTATGATCATAAATTTATTAAAATATTGAAAATAAAACATACAGAATTGAAAATCAAAACAATATGAATAAGTCAATATTGTCATAGTCCAGTAACCAATCATTGAGGGTACTCTGTAAAAGCATTGTTGTTGTTGTTCCTTTGTTGTTGTTATTTTTCTCATGTTAATTTTGTGATCTATTTTGTTTGTATTCTTGTTATTAATATATTCATTGTTATATTTTGTTATTGTTATATTTTTTATACATTGTTATATTTTTCTAAAACATAAATATCCATTGTTTTGCCATGTATTAATTAGTTTTAAATATTGTTTTCTACTCCTCTGTTAATTATTAAATTTGTATTCCTATTTGTAGCTACTCAATGTAAAATGGTGTTTGCCGTTGGTGTTCAATAAATAAACAAATAAATAGATAAACATAAACGGGGGTTTTATCTAAACAGGCCTATTGAATAGGTATACATATCCGCATGCACTTGAGCAAGTGAAGTAACTGACTGGGGCTCATTTCATAAATAACTACAAGTTACAACTTGTAAACAACTACTTGTAATTTCCATTAGATTTGCATTGGGCGATCAGCTGATTTTCTTGCGGTGTCGTGTCAGCGGTGACATTATCATTTGTACTTTGCCCTCTTGGTCTTGAATTCTTCCTCTAATTTAAAATACTATTGAATATCGCGTGTGATTTAAATTGTAGTTTGTCATTTAAAATAAGTTTGCTATTGTCATTTGTTGTGCTTTGTACATTTCAGATTCTTCCAGGGTGTTCAATTTATTGCCTTTTGTACATGTATAAAGGATTTCCATGTAAACGATAGGGGCTTTATGGTTTATCATTTAGGCTATTGTCAATCAAAAGAGAATCTCAGAAGAAAACCTGCAAAAACACAGCACAATAACTGCGAACTTTTACAAACGTTAACAACAAACCCAAGATACTCGAAAACCCCAAATAATAATAAGATCAATACACAATACAAATCCTTCTCCCCCTATATCTTTAGGTTGCGCAAGATTCCGTACGCTAGGTTCACTAGTAAAGGGTTACTGAGCAGACAAATTAAACAAACTCCTTTGTTTTGTATTCATTCATCAATTCATTTATCACTGTGGATCAGCTGTTTAAAGAGTTCCAATCATCGATCTCTATTATTATTAATAATAGAGATCGATGGTTCCAATTAATTCACTTAGAAGATAGAGTAGAGGGTAACTTTAATTCCCTATTTTGTTTCTTGTTTTTATTTACTTATCTTAAAACTACTTTTACAAAATAAAACATTCTTCGTCAATTAAAGCTTTAAGTTCGGTTTCATAACCAAAGAGAAAGCAAAATCATAAAATCTACTTTAAAATAATAGAGATAAAAGAATTCGGTATCACTAGAAAATGAAACACACGCTTGGATTTTTAGAATAAGTATAACATGAAATTATAAAATTTTAAGCTATTGGTTCTACATACATTTAATGTATAGTTTCGTATGACGATAAATTGAAGACAAATAAACGGTATCAGCATTTCTGACACATACTTTCTCCCATAAGTTTGTCAACAATCTTTATCATTTGTAAGCGGTGAGAGTAAATATACGGAAATGGGATTTGTACAATTTTGTTCAGAATTCAAAGGACTATAACATACTAAATTGTTATCAAAATCGTTCGGGCCATTTTTGAGAAAATTCGATTTTTCCGGGTTTTTATGGGAAAATCACCATTAAAAATTGAAATTTCAAAAAAATGAAAAAAAACGCCTGGAGATAGCATGGATTAGAGCCTCCATACCAAATTTCATCGAAATCTGATGAACACACACACACACACATACATCACTTCGAAAACCACTTTTTGGGTTAAGGGGGTCCAAAACGAATATATCCACTCAAAGCTCAAACTCGAAAATTTTGATGAAAACAATACTTTCTCCATATACTGTGGTATATGGGGAGAAAGTAAAAATTATACTTTTTATAGTACTCTTTAATGCCTGCACACAATATTGCTAAAGCATGTGTATGACGTACTATCGATCTGAATTTCTATTGGTTGGAACTGTATGACGTTGCAGACGATTTCCTTCTCATGCGGCTTGTCGCTCTCGCTCGCTCTTCGTTCTTTCTTTCCCGTTTAGCAAGCCCTCGCGTAAAGACCGATATTCGAGATGGCTTCAACAGACCCTATGTCATTTGCCAAAGACTTTTTGGCAGGAGGAATTTCAGCCGCAGTTTCAAAAACTGTCGTTGCTCCCATTGAACGAGTGAAGCTATTACTTCAAGTACAAGCCGTCTCTAAACAAATCGCAGCTGACAAGCAATATAAGGGTAAGTTGGCCTGTGTGGCCATTTTGTCATCCTTGACCTGCCATAGGCGTTCCCATCCAATATTAATTTCTGCACTTATTCTATGTTATTTAAATATTGCTTGCATCCCATGATCCGTGTATGCCTTAAGCTTAGGCCACTAACACCTAGATAAAAATAATATGCTATCCGATACGTTTTAGCAAAATGAAAGTGGTTATTAGTATGCTAGCAGAAGCCTAATCAATTGATCACGTGCCCTAGTTTGCAGCCTCTTTAAATTCAAATTGATCTCCGAACATAATCCTACCTTTAATCCTAGTCTTGAGGTTCTGGAATTGCTGTTTTTTCTAATCTCAGTAGCCTTCCCTTGTTCTAAATAGCGGAATAGGCCTAGTCAAAGTATTTTTTATTTCCAAATTTTTACTAATTTGATTGAAATATATAAAACAATTTCTTAGCTTGTATCTTTAAAATACAAACTGGCCTTAATAATGCCTATGTATTCTCTCTTAAAATAACATGAATCTCAGACCCAACAAGTTCAATAAGGCTTAATCAAATCTAGGCCTGAATCAACATTTTTTTAACCCTGCTCTGGCAGCTAAAAATCTCTGTACCGGCAGGCCATTTTCTAGCCTACTGAATGTAAGTTAAATTGGTTTAGAGCTGTATAAATTGTGTTCTACCATACACAGGCAACTTGTATATATATAAACTTATTAACTTGCAGTAGGCCTAGGCTATATTTTGTTTTTTAGGACATTAACTTACAAGGAACAAATGGGTACACTTCCATCCTATGTTGGCACAAACAACCGAATGAAAATATCGATCGATTATTCGATATATCGTTTGGTTAGTTAGGTGAATAATCAATATTACTCATTCAGTTGTTTGTGCCAACAGATATAGATGTGTAGCCTACCCAAATAAAAAGAAAATGGGCCTGTAACACATTTCCTAAGTTAGAGGCTAGGGAAAAATAGGCCTAGCCTACAAGATTTATTTATCCCAAGGATACGCGTCCGGTAACCGAACGTGGATTAAGCGTCTGGCAGTGACGTCACCGAGTTGTGGGGGCACAGAACACCAAATTGATTTTTAAGTCTAATTTAAGTTATGACTTGTTTACGATTTAAACCTATTCATATTATTTAATAATTATAACTAACTTAAAGATATTCAACCAAAAAATATTTGCAATTAACTTCTAGGCCTATTAAGTTAAGTACCTACCTACTGTTGATATGGTAACTACATAGAAATATTAAGTAGCCTATAAAATTCATGGCTTCTTCCATTTTTATTATTCTTAAATACCTATTGTGGAAAAAACTAAGGGTACCTACCGGTACCTAACTTAAAATAAAGAAAAGGCTTTGATAGGCTGTAAGAAAGGGGATTAACCCCGTACCCACGGTGCTCATCTATGCAGACACTCTGTTCACATTACACTTAGTCGACCAGTTGGTGTGAACAGAGTTGAACAGTAGCATGAGCATCGATTTACAAATTCCTTTCCCAGCTGATGTGAGCTAGGCGATGACCGGTAGGGCTGACTTCCAAGAAACACCGTTAACCTATAAGCCACACACCCTATCGGTAATCAGCCAATGAGAAGGGCTAATGAAGAAGATGGAGGGGTGACGAGTCTTGGAGCTGGAGGATCTGAAGGAAAACATCGGGTCAATCCATGTCAAGTGATCAAATACCAATTACCTCACCATTTTTTACAGGATTGATCTTTTTACATTAGATACATCTATGCAAAAGAAGCTTAAATATGAAAAAAAAAATTTTTATCTCATCTCGTTTTTTTGTTATTTTATTTTAAAGTTCCAAAAAAAGCGTGGTTTTGCGCTTTAAGGGATTTACGTTTTATTTAATATCTCAAGAAAGAATAAAGATAGAAAGGTAAAACAAAAACCATTCTTTTCAGGATTAAATTAGCTTTAATTTGATATACAACATGACAGTATTTAAAGTATTTAAAATTTCAACCCCCCAAACTCAAAATTTCAAAAGCCAATCCCAAAAAACGCATATGATTAAAAATTTTCAAAAAAATACCATTGATCCTTAATGTTATTAATAATTTATGTCCAAAAATTCAAGTTGGGATCTCAATGGGATCCATATTAAAATAATTTTTTTGTATAAGCCTGGAATGTAAATAGACAAGTCGTAGGCTACAGGGCTAATAGTTACATTCATTAGCTACAAAAATGTCTAAGTAACATAACATACAATAAAAAGCTAACAGTCTATAGGCCAAACCAGTTGTACAATACAAGTACAGTAAGCCTAAAGTGTCTAAAATTTGGTAACTTCACTTTTTAAATAAGATATCAATTGAAATAAATGGACTGCTACCGAGTCGTGAATCGAGCATTCTGATATTATTACAAAGCTTGTATACTTAATTTCTCCTTTCTCATTGTATAAACAGCAAATGGATGCACAGTATCTCAGAGATTACTATTCCAGTGGAAAGACTGTGCCTCGTCTTGGACCACAAAAGAGTAGTTTTCTGAAAAGTCCAAACTTACAACTGCTTCATCCTCTTGAATGTTTTCTTTCAAATCTTTGTAGTACTTGGATTGCTGACGGGATATGAATGAATGCTTCGTTAGTTCAACAAGCTGTTAAAAAAAACTGTCCACAAATTCTACAGTCTTGCAAAATGTCTCAAATGTACACCTATCCACAGAAACCCATTAATTGTATGTGATGGTCTCTATCATCCCCTCTTCAAAGTGGTTCAGAAGTACTTCTTTTAGTTTTAATACTCCTGGACACTTTACACATTTGTTTAGGTAGGCTAGCAGTCAGAGGTATTTTCTTGGCACATTATTTGTGAAAAACATTGTTTGTAATCGCCAAGATCAGTAGCTTCATCAATCTTCACCTCTTTCAGCTTTCCTCCAACAATCATTCATTTTACATTCTGTTGCATTGTGCACACGCAAACAGAGTGAGTTCCATTTCCCCCAGCCAAGATACAGTTCTTCGGTCTTAAATCAGCGAACTTTGAGAAACCAATTTTCACAGCTGATTCTGTTTTTTTAACAGTTCAAAGTATTCTTTTAAATTTAATAAAACCAGTCTCTTTTGCACATGTTCTTTCTATCCATTTACTTTCATCGCTACAAAATCATTCTTGCCTGGTATAATTCGACTCACATCATCAGAGTTGTAAAAAGCTTTGACTTAATCTACAACCTTCTGGTCCAAAGTTTTTCCTGGCTTTGGGTCTGGACATGACATTTTTCCCTTTTCTTTAACTAACGATTTAGCTCTTCTGGCCATCCTGTTACTGACACCAAACTCGATTTCAATTTTTTTACAGTCCAACTTTTAGGTAATGTTGTAAGTCTCAAGAACTCTCACTTTTTTTTGTAGTTTTCTGAAATTTTTCTTACAATGTCATTCTGAATCATTTCTGAATCTGGGTTAACTTGCTCTTCATCCTCATAGAAGCTTGTATCAAAGGAAATTGATATCTTATTTAAAAAGTGAAGTTACCAAATTTTAGACACTTTAGGCTTACTGTACTTGTATTGTACAACTGGTTAGGCCTATAGACTGTTAGCTTTTTATTGTATGTTATGTTACTTAGACATTTTTGTAGCTAATGAATGTAACTATTAGCCCTGTAGCATACGACTTGTCTATTTACATTGCAGGCTTATACAAAAAAATTATTTTAATATGGATCCCATTGAGATCCCAACTTGAATTTTTGGACATAAATTATTAATAATATTAAGGATCCATGGTATTTTTTTGAAAATTTTTAATCATATGCGTTTTTTGGGATTGGCTATTGAAATTTTGAGTTCGGGGGGTTGAAATTTTAATTACTTTAAATACTGTCATGTTGTATATCAAATTAAAGCTAATTTAATCCTGAAAAGAATGGTTTTTGTTTTACCTTTCTATCTTTATTCTTTCTTGAGATATTAAATAAAACGTAAATCCCTTAAAGCGCAAAACCGCGCTTTTTTTGGAACTTTAAAGTGAGATTACAAAAAAACCAAAGGAGATAAAAATATTTTTTTTCTAAATTTTTAATTGGTTTTATGTGTATATTAAATAAACCAAAAACTAACAAGAAAGAAAAACATAAGGGAAAATTTTATTTTTTATTTTGATCACTTGATATGGAATGACCCCATCGAGGAGATCACCACGGGCCACCGGAGAAAGAAGATCGGGAGTTTGGGAGTGCGTGTATCGGTGTGTGTGCTTCTGGGACAATAGACAGTATGTAGAAAGAATAAAATATCTAACTAAAACTTTGTCAAACATAAAAGTCATATAATTTGTCAGTAACTAATTCTTTTATATTTTCAATTGATTTTCTTTTCTTGTAAATTTAACGTTGTAAATTTATTTATCTTATTATTGTTGATTTTTGCCTTTTCTAAGTTTTCTTTTGCTGTTGTAACACTTAGTTACTTTAGTTGTTTTTTCTAAATTTAAATTTTTGTTCATTACACGTTGAGTAACACCCTTAAGCAGTCTTATGTCTCATTAACCTAACACCTCTTCACTAAGCTAAGCGAGTGTAACATTTAGGAAACTTAAACTTAAAGTGAGGCATGGGACTCGCATGGTGGAGGCGCCGGGTAATGTGAACAGAGTGTCTGCATAGATGAGCACCGTGGGTACGGGGTTAATCCCCTTTCTTACAAGGCATAACTCATTGTTTTGTTAATTTAACCCTCCGAGTGTTATTTGTCGCTGCAGCAACTCACAAACACTTTTTACGGCAAAGGCTCTATGACTGACAAAATCGAATTGAACTGGATCGAGTTAGGTATAGTTTTATTTGACAGATTCAGAGCTTTCTCCGGAGGTCTGTCTCTAAGCGCTATTCATTTTAGTTCCGAAAATATTGTAGCAGACAGCTGACGTGCGTATTTGTAAACAACTTGGTTAACCTCAGACCGATGACTGATGTGTTTTATTACGTTTATCATTGTTTTAGTGTTTAAAATCAAAAGTAGTGATATACGTGGTGCATTAAGAAGATTTAAGTGATTTTGAAGGGCTGGTTGATGATCCTGAAGAAGTAGGTAGTGATATTGATGTAAATTATCAGCCAGATAATCGGCCTATGGTTAGGCTATGCATTCTTAGATAAACACTATGTACTGAAATCTATTTTTTGCCCATAACTTATTTATTTGCAAATCTACTTCCTTATATTATTATATATTTGTAATCCTCATAAAATTTAGAACAAAGTGGCTATTTTCAAATATTTATAGGCCTATAATTTATACAATTTCATTGAGCGCGAACTTATTTTTTTTTTGAAAATTTTCCAAAATATTTTGTTTTTACCTAAAAATTTTTTTTGAAACAATAATGTTCCTTAGCCTATGTTCTATGTATAATATTGAAGCCCATGATTTTCCAATAACTTACCACAACATTTAAAAACACTAAATGTTTAAATTTTTTCCATTTGACTGGATTGAGAAAATAGATAACAAAGGTTCTCGTAATCAGCTGATTCATCCCTTCAAGGTTTATGTCACCAGACAGGCGTACGTAGGGATGTTGCGATACCACTGTCTTTCCGATATTTGGTATCGATACCGTATCGCAAAAAAGTATCGATACCGGCTCAGTATCGGAACTAAAGTATCGATACCGTCAGTATCGTATCCATTCGATACCAGTGAAGTCATATTTTGATTTCAGTACAGTGCAGCCAATATAGGATTCGAATTCAAGCTGCTAAAAACTACCTAAATATGTAAAACGATAAAATTAACCAAACATAGCTAACCTTTGTTTTCAATTTTACCTTTAAAGTAAAAGTTCAAGTAGGCCTAATCTTACCTTATGTTCTTCTAGGCCTATATAATTTATCTTTTCAATAGACAATGAATTACCAACGTAGGGGAACACATTCGTGTGTACCATCAGCCTAAATAAAAAAACTTTTATTTTGTTAAATAACTTTAAGTGCCATCTTTTTAGTTTATTTATTTGATGTTAAATAGTCGACGGTTTCATTTTATTTGCCTAACACAACGTTGCTAACATTGACTTGTAATAAAAATAACTCTGCACCCAAACCCGGTATAACTTATATAGTCAATGGTTTTACTTATAGTTATGTAAAGTGCTATGCTATGAATGAATAGTGAATCATAATTTACTCAAACCACATATCAGACAAGCTAGATAAAAAAAAAATTATTTGGGTTAAAGTTTGTTTCTTTTTTGGGTCACTGTTGCTCCAGCCCTGGAAAATAGCCGCAGAAGGCACGAGCGTGGCCATTTTACTCAGATTTGTCAGAAATTACCTTCCGATACTTACGATACAATACTGGCCTCTTGGTATCGGTACCAAGTAAATATCGGAACAACCGATACCGATACGATACCAGCGGTATCGCAATAAAAGTATCGATACCTACTGGTATCGATAGTATCGCAACATCCCTAGGCGTACGGTATTTGAGTTTTCAGTCGTTTTCACTCGTCAAGTGTTATGGTCTTGAATTGGCCCCCACGGATGCAATGCAAGATTAAGTCTGATACCTCTATATTTACCTCATTACCTCCTCCTTTGCTTGACCAAATGTATTGGATAAGCAGTGTCAAAAGAACAATTATTATAATATATTTACAGACTATTTACAGACTTCCGTGATGGAGTTCTCAGTAAGCTGCAATAAGTTAATTGCTATTAATTCAAATTCTAGAGCTCTTTTTTCTATCTACTAACTTTGGCTAACCCCTAAGTTAGCGAATAAAAAAATTAAAAAAACTTGTGTGATGGGCTCAAGTGTAGTTAGTGCGCTATCAGGTGGTCAGGGTCATTGTTTACTATCAATTAAAGATTACACAACAATGTGTAGCCATTAGGCCTATTAACTGCTTTGAGTGAAAAATTGATGAATTTAAATTGTAATTTAACTTCAGAATATTGTGTCTCAGCGAGCGTATGCTAAAATGAAAGTATGAAGGCTTTTGCATTTTTGTTGGATTATAAATCTTAAGTTATTGATAAATATAGGATAAATTAAACACTTTCTTTTCTTAAAATTTTAATGCAAAAGTGTTAAAAAGGCTCTTAAGCTAAATTAGTTTGGCAGAAAAGTCAATGTACAGAATACATTTACCCCTTTAGTTTTTAATGTGAATTAGGTACTGTAGTTGAACATTTTCAAAGATTTGTAAAAAAAAACTTAGTTTAAATGTACGGTAGTTAAGATAATTTTTCAAAAACTTAGAAGCTAATATCAAAACGTCTTGTTTCCAAAACGAATGTCAACAATAGAGAAGTTTACAAAAATTAGGTCTATTTAATATTACAACTTCTAGAAACTAAATATTGTGCACTATTTTTAATAATCAACAACCATATAAAGTTTAAACCTGAGAGAGGAATATTAGAGCTTATTGTATGCAAAATATGCCCCGTAGCAAACCTGAAGATATATTAATGTTAAGTCTATTTTCAGGTATTATCGACTGCTTTGTTCGAATCCCCAAAGAGCAAGGGTTCGTCTCATTCTGGCGTGGAAACATGGCCAACGTGATCAGGTACTTCCCCACGCAAGCCCTCAACTTTGCGTTCAAGGATGTGTACAAACAGGTGTTCTTGGGAGGAGTTGACAAGAAGACACAGTTCTGGCGTTACTTTGCCGGTAACCTGGCCTCTGGTGGAGCTGCCGGAGCCACCTCCCTTTGCTTTGTCTACCCCCTCGACTTCGCTCGTACAAGGTAAAGGAAACCAACAAGTAGAAATTTGTTATTTTCTCAGTAGGCTTAGGCCTAATCTATTGTTGTATTACAAAGTACATTAGCCTTTATTTCAATTGCAACAACAATGGGTAGTTAAAGTACAACACCGCGTGTTGAATCCACAATGTTGCAATCAACTTTTTTTTTATCATGTTGATCCACCATAGCAATATTTACGATTTGACTGGGATGGATTGGATTCAATTCTGTAATGAATGACAATACACATAATGTATTATTTCTATTTAATCCTGTGGTTGGGCTATGTAAGGTTAGTTTTTTATAGGTAGGTTAGTTAGACTACGATTGAATACATTTAATGATAATATTATCATTAAAAAGAAAGAAGAAAGAAAAGAAAGAAGAGCTGTCATTAATTGATACAATTGGAAATTCCATTGGGTTTTGTCCAATATTTTTCATAAAATACATATTGGAGTCGGATATCAAAAGTTATGCCTAACAGCGTAGGATACAAAATACCCTCTTCTGTTCCATTTATCCCATGGTCTGCGCATCGACTTGAGCCGGTGACACACTATCTCCGGTTTAGCGGGATGCGTTTTTACCGCATTGACATTGCCCTGACATCGCATTGACAGTTGTTAGGCCTAGATTGATTTAAATTGCATAAAACGTGTCCGTGTCGAACATGCTGAACGTGCGCAGCGAAACAGGACAGTGTCTCATTTAACTGCATGTATTTATCCTTTCATCCCGTCGTCCCGTTCTACCGCAGCACCTTGCAGTGCATCCCGTCGACACGCCGCAACCGCATCAATGTGCCATCTCCCATTAAAACCCATGAGTTTGAATCATCCCGCCAAACGGATCCCGTTTAACCGGACCGGCGAAACCGGATAGTGTGTCACCGGCCTCTCCATCTCCTATTCCTTTATACCCTAATTCATTAATTTTCTTCTGCCATTTATCAAATCTATCATTCTCTTCTCTACAACCTTTTACCTTGTTTATAACCTCATATGGACAACAATAAGAATTTCCATAATGAAGGATTGTTTTAGCTTTTGCCCTATACAGTAGGCCTACTGTTTGTGAGCAATTTTTAAAACATAATTTATGACATGATTTATATTTTGATTATGCTAAACCAATATTTATTATTTCTCATATTTAAGTAGGCCTAATGAATTGGGAATATTTAGGACGTGGTTAGTTATGCTTGTTAAAGTTAAAACTTGAGCACTAAGTCAAGTGCCCTTAGATTCCTTGTTAGATTAAAATTATTGCCATACTTTCTCAGCTTATTGATTTTAAAGAACTTGTAATTCTAATTAAAGGTTAGCCGCTGACGTCGGTAAGAGCGCTGAACGTGAATTCTCTGGACTTGGTAACTGCCTTGCCAAGACCTTCAAGTCAGACGGCCTCATCGGTCTGTACAGAGGGTTCGGCGTCAGTGTACAAGGAATCATCATCTACAGAGCTGCCTACTTTGGCTTCTTCGACACAGCCAAGGGAATGCTTCCCGACCCCAAGAACACACCATTCTTAGTCTCATGGGCCATCGCTCAGGTTTGTTTAAATTATACTTATTTCTGTTCATTAAGAACTCAGTGTTATTTAATGCTGTGGTGTGGTATTTGTGCCCCCTTTTGTAGCCCCCTGTGCATAATTAATATTTTTGGTGGTACAAATAATCTTAAATTTGATTATACTTCTTGGTTAACATGTTGTTTCTGGAAATTAGTTAGAAAACAGGTTGTAAATGAAAAAGATTTTGTAAATTTTGCTTCTGCAACTTAATTTTCTGGTTAACTATTGTTACGGACTATAATTTCTTGGCATTTTCTTATACATAACTTAGGTAGGTTTTGTAAATTTTTTATGTGATCAAAGCAATTGACAAAATTACTAGCCTATTATTAATTTCAAGCTCCAGAGCCTTGATTAATAAATTTTCATATATAAAATGGTTAATTGACTTTTAGTGCAATTGGACCTCGTCGACAAGTTTCGTAAATTTGGCGAGGCCAAGCTGTTGTAATATCATTAGTATATTTGATTTTTAAAAGTATGGCAAAAGTATTATTTGCTTGTCTGTCCACAGTTTGTGACGACGTTCGCCGGTATCATGTCCTACCCATTCGACACAGTCAGACGGCGCATGATGATGCAGTCCGGTCGCCCCAAGGCAGAACAGGCCTACAAGAACACCATGGACTGCTGGAGCAAGATCGGCAAGCAGGAGGGTCCCGGCGCTTTCTTCAAGGGAGCTTTCTCCAACGTGTTGCGTGGTACCGGTGGCGCTCTCGTGCTAGTGTTCTACGATGAGCTCAAAGCTCTCATGTAGACAGTAGCTGTATAGTAGTCATAGGATCATCCGACATTCCGGCCGCTGATAGGCTGCATTTAATAACGTTTCATCGGACAGATCATTCCGCGCACTGGCATTCAGACGAATAGGCTAGAAACGTTATTCCTCAAAAGTATTCCATTTATGTGTAAATGTATATTCGCTGAATTATACATGTTGAAAAAATATATGTTGAAAATAGTGTTAACTTATTTTGTGCCTTCAGCCTACTGTTTTTAATACTTTTGCTTTTACCTCCCTTTGTATTATTACATTATTAAATTGTTAATTTATCTCCCGAACATTTTGCTTTTGCTTGAGTTAACCCATGCACCATTTTTATTTGCTATCCCTTCCGCACCTGTTAAATCACAACTAGTCATTACAAATCCAATGGTCTGTTTTAAATCAAACTCAAACATGAACATAGATTTGTGTTGTTTTTTAAACCGGAAATTCCTTATGTTTTGGTTGTATTTCAAGTTAGTCATTTTTTAATAATAATTTATTCCCAGACTTCAACTTATGTGATATTACACAATTTCAGACAAACCAACTGGGATCTATTATTTACATGATTACATTTAATATACCTTTTTGACATAAGTTTTTAACTACAAAATAGGACAATTGTGCTTATTTTAATAGCCCCCATTGTATACTTCTTTTAAATTCACAAAGGAAATGTCATAAAGATAACCGACTTCCAACTCTCAGGCAGTCATCTTGTGTGTATTGTTTTCATTATGAGGTGACAGGTCCCCACTTAATGGTGATGGTAGAATCATGTATAACTTGCTTTGCTTATGAATGAAAGCCAGTCATTTATGTAACAAAGTAGTACGCATTACAAACTTATTTGGTTTATTTGGAGATCCAACCACACTTGATGATAAGCTGTGATTAAAACGTGCTCATAGAGATAGCTTAAAGAGGTTATAAGATAACAAGACCTTTGCTGCCTTAGTCCCAATTTTGCTTATAATTAACTTTCTCTTGTCCTCTGGTCAAAGTCTGAAGCAATAACAAACCACTGCCGTTTTCTTATGATTTTACTGATACAGAATTTCTTACATGCTTTGAATTCTGAATGTTTTGATCCCCCAAGTCCGATGAAGCTCAAAAAATAAGAAAACTGCTGTAAAGTAGACATGTTAATATTTCAGGGTGACGAAGTGAGTTAAAACCAGCAGTTGTTCAGCAGGAAGAAGAAAATAATAGTATAGATGACTGGTCAAGTTCTCAAGTGTTGCCAACTGTTAAAAAACAAATTTTCCAGTTTATTTGACATTTAATAACATTGTTGACAAGATTTGTTGGGATGCACTGTATGCTGGAGTTAAATTAAATAAGTTAGTAGATTTAAAAAAATAATAATATAACAAGAGTTGAATCAGAGGTATCCTTGATTCTGACTATGAAATATTGATCTCATTTAATATTTAACTTGCTGATGAAATTGAATGTTGGTTAAGGTCACTAGCAAGTCAAGGTTACATTTTGGCTTATCAAGTCATTAATCATGTACCAACAATGATAGCCCAAATAATTTGAAGCATTCTTCTTTCAAACATCGTTCAAAATTTAACATTTCAACATATAGTTTGGTTATCTAAGGTAGGGAAAGATAACAGCTTAAAGGCATTTGTGAGGTTTCTGAGAATATGTAACTGCCAAACGACTACATAGGCAGTAATCCAAAATCCAGCCGAGTTTCACCTTTATTATAACCAATCTGTTCCATGAAATTATTAGTTCTTGGACACTTGTGTGGAATGTAATTGCCTACTAATATTTATTATGTAGTTTCTATAAGTTTGTATCTTTAAAGTCATTTTGAGGTGTTAAAAGGGCTGGGGTAGGTCTTGGGAGAAAGATAACACCAGTAAAACTTCACTAACTTGACAATTTGTGGTCCCAGAGGTTGTCAAGTTTGGGGAGTGATGGTTAAGTTATGCAGAACAATGACATTTTTAATAAATTGAACATAACCCTATTTTTACATCTATATCATACTATATACATGAGTGTTTTTACTTCAGTAACCAATCTTCAAAGAAATTTGGAGTAGTCAACAATTAAAACTAAATGTTCAGAAAATGCTTTTTTCGCATTTCACTCTAAGGAAGTAGGTATTACTGTAGGTCTCATGTTAAGACTTAAGCTCGGGACCGATTTAATTTTTCATTTTGATGTCCCCAGAGGTCAAATAAAACACTATTCGTTCAAATTTCAAATGGTTATTGGTTACAGAGAAAATAAAAAAAGTTGTAAATTTAAAATTCCTATTTTATTCTTATGGAGAATGCTGTAAAATGTTGTAGTTTGCTCGTTTATGGATATATTTTGATAAATTTGGCAAATTTATGTATTTTATAATATACTAAGCTATTGATATTTTACTAAAAACACACTTTTTAGCCTCCCTGTAGCAGCAAACCTAGGTACTCGTTTAACCTTAATATTATTTAAATAGATTTAATTGTATATCAATTCAGGCAAATGGAAATTCACTTAGTCTGCAGGTTTGCTGCGGCGTTGGTATTTTTGTTGTTAGTGGTTAACTATACATACATACATACATGATACATGATCTCTCCGTCCATAGTCCTTTGTCCTAAAGAAATTGCCTTAAGGAATAATTGGACAGGTATATGATAATTGGTTAATACAAAGAATAACCTAACTTAAATACTAGTTTTTGTCACCGTTAAGGTAACTGTCATCTATGTCATGAAAACTTAACTCCACTAGATATTTTTTCAATTATAATTTGAATTTTGTTCAACTCTGAACTATTGAGTTAGGAGAGATTTTTACTATAGACTACAGTATATCAATCTGGCTGGAATACACAATAACCAAAATACTCTACAAACATACAAACTAAATAAAAATGAGTAACTAACTAAATTATACAACTAACTGCAAGTAAACTACAATCAATAAATAAACTCATTGAACTAATCCTTTTAAGTCTAAGCAGCTTTGGAGTTGATGAAAGACTATAGTATATAATTTTTCTAAAAGAACAAAGTACAGGGTGAGTCAGTGAAACGGGCTATTTTCTTATAACGTTATTGAGTAAAGGGGAAGAAGGAAAGGGGCCTTTAAGTTTCCCTGCGTTCCCAACCTCTGGAAGTTTAGTTGCATACAGCCTTAGCTTTGGACCGGACCACAGGGGGGTTTTACCGTCAAGGCATTTTATCAAAACAGTGAAAGTTCTGTGCGTACACCACATCGGGCCTTGCACATTAATTTTGCGTCTGCCCCCTCAAGTCCCATCGAGACATGCAATTCAGGGCTGAAACTTGGAAGAAACGGGACAAACAACAAAAAGAAGAGGTGGGAGTACCAGAACTGTGCGGAGACCCGAAACATTTGAATCAGTTAAACGCTCGCCAGAACCCAGAAGTCCCTGTGGATCTGGCTATCCGCACCAACAGTGAGGCGAATTTTGCATTAAGATCTTAACATGCATCCGTACAAAATTCAGGCTGTGCAAGTCTAGAATATGGGTGATTTTTGATCTTGCATTATTTTTTGTGAGCATATGCTTAAGCAAAATATGCAAGATGGCCCAGAGCCTATGGATGAGCGATGAGGCTCATTTCCACTTAACGGGATGTCAATAAGCAAATTTTTGATATTGGTCGGTCCACAAGCACTCTAATAAAGCTACGGTTTGGTGTGCCGTTTCTTCGACATGAAATGGGGATATTGCCTGGCCCCCTTGATCCTCTAACCTCAGCTCCTGTTTTTTTGTGTGGCTTGACTAAAAGTTTAAGGAGTTGACTCTGATATTATTTTCAAGACTTGATGCTTGTTTTGTTGGTTCAACACAAACTTCCACTCATTTGCTACGTTTTTTAATGAATAAATCGATCTTATGATGTTTGACCTTTTTTTAATAACTTACCGAAAAATGGCCCGTTTCACTGACTCACCCTGTATAATAAAATTTGGTTATTTTTAGTGAGCAAAAGGTCAGCCTGCTCATAGCCCCTGAACTACTCTACTGTAATTGGTAGGCCTAATGGAGGGGGAGCGAGATGGTCCAATGGTAGATCACGGGATTTTGGTCCCGGGTTCAAATTCGCCAAGTCACCAATGGATTTTATCTAAGTGATAATGCCGCAACCCCTATTTCTATCCTATAGTAATATGAAAAATGATCAGAGCCCTGGACAAAAAAGGTTAGGAAACTGCATTGTGGTGGGAACACAAAAATATTGGATTGTCTAGTGCCAAAAATAAATGTCAGAACCATAACATATCCATATATAATGGCAAACAGATAAAGCAAGGACAAAATGCAGGTACACTGCAGTAAGATACACATAATTTTAATTTGTTATGCTAATTTATTTTTGTTTACCATGTCTAATGCAACTATTAAGTTCCAAAATGCTAATCTCAAACCACTTGATGACTCACATTATACAGGACAAATGTGTGGATACCACCTCCTAGTCCTTTAAACTTAAACTGTAAACTATTAAAGGGGTTTTGTTTAATATCACAAATTTGCTTTTGCTCAGGACCACGAAATAGAATTGACTACCAAACTTTTATATTTTAAGTCTTGTAATGACAATATTTTTAAGGTCTTGATTAGGGAGTATCGTCCATAACCAGAGGTCTCTATCTCTACTCAATAGAAAATAGCAGTCAGTTTAAATTTTCATCAGCCTGAGAGGTGATTAAATTTTCTAATGCATTTTCCAATGGTGAATGGTATGAGTAGTTAAAGTGCTCGCCTAACAATCAAAAGGTGGTTTACTTGAAACTTATGAAACTGGACCCAGCTGTCCCTGATCATCTAGTCTTATTTTATTGTCACCGGTGCCTAGCAACTATTTTTGTTTTGTTTTTCTCCTAGCTAATGAATCAGCTGATCTTAGTATCTTTAGTCAGTAAAAACAGCAACACAGATATAGATATTCTCTCACTCCATTACACTCAACCTTAATATTAGTATCTTTAGTCAGTAAACACAGCAACACAGATATAGATAATCTCTCACTCCATTCTACACTCAACCTTAATATTTGGGTTAAATACGCAAATGGGTGACCTTATCTCAATGGCTATAGGTGCAATTAAATGAATGCAGTAGTGCAGAGTTAAATTTTCTTCGTGTAACCCATTGAAAGGATAAAGAGGTGGTACATTACACACAAATTTGGCTAACACTGAATTTTCAGCAACACAGGAATCCAGAGCACCACTCTTAAGAGAGCTGAAGAAAAATTATTAAAAACCGTAAACAGACTAGTTTGTAGCTATGCTTTCAATCATGACCTAATGTGTCTGAAATGTGGGGACGGAAGTAAATGAATCTCAAAATGCTAGGCTATGTACCCTCAGAATTTATTCTAGGCTGGCTCTGACGAGGCATGTGCTAGACTGGCACAGCACTTATATTAAGAACATACCTTGCATCCCTGGAAGAGAGGGAATTCTAAAATGGTAAAATGGAGGACTTTGGTTTCTGATGGCTAATCTTAAACACAATAATTAATTATGATATCCCACGTAGAGCTATAATTCTTTGACTTATCATCAGTACCTGAGTCATTCTCTCACAAGGAGAAGGACTACAATGTAAATAATGTAATGGTTTAAAGCATTGCATCTAAGGTAGCAGGTAGGACGGCATACATATAATAGTGCACGAATCATAATATTAACCCTTAAATCTTAGTCTACACTAGCGATCAGTATCACCAACATGAACTAGACACGAAAACGAGCTTCCAGTATACAATGGGATGATAAGTCTAATAGAGTGTTGGTATTAAACAAGATTGCTAAAATGCTCTGATCATGCAATTTTTTTGCAATAAATAGTGAACCAATCTTAATCCTATCTCAGTACAAAAACTCTTGGCACAGTAATTGGTGTAAATACATCGAATAAACGTATATAATCAATGGTTACGGTTACACTGTATTAGTTTAGACTAGCGTCTAGACTGCCAGTGCAACTCCGAGGAACGAGGATCAGAGGCGCTAAAATTGTTATCTCTATCGCTGTTGCTGTCAAAACGTATCATTTGTAGGTTAAATTTAAATTAAATATAATTAAACTGTCATAACCCAACCAAACTAACCAAACTTGCTGGTAATGAAAAACTCGGATGAAGTTTTACTAATCGAAAAAATAGTTCTGTTCTAAAAATAAAATTATAAAATAAATGTCTCAAATTCAGTTTTATAATTTTTAAATTATAAAAATTAAACTGCCATAACCTAACCAAACCAACCATACTTGCTGATATGAAAAAAATTGTTGACAATAAGTAAGTGTCAACAGTGGGATTCGAACCCGGTACCTTCCGATAACAGCCCGACACGCTATCCACTACACCACCAAGGCTCATGACTCAGTTCCGTATCGTTGCGGTAATGGTTGACGTCACGCCATCGGCACGGAGCGGTGGTGGGGGGTTTTCCGATCTGATCCTCGTTCCTCGGAGTTGCACTGGCAGTCTAGACGCTTATTTAGTTTAGTGAATATTGTTGACGCCTTCAAATCTCACCGCTCTCACAGGCGTACACTAATGCCTTGCAGTAGTAGTCTAGTTTTATAAGGCAAACCAATCGTTGCATTTTTATTAATTTCAGCATTTATTTTTATGGGAAAATAAAATATAAGTAGTGTACAAAAAATTCCATGCGGTTTAACCATGTACTAGAGGTCGTCCAGTGGTTGAAAACTCGACCAAAAAGTAGTGTACAGACTTCTCTATTTTCACCCCACGCTGTAAATAAAACTATAATTGGAATTTCTTCCATTTGTTTTTATTTTCTGTTTATATTTCGTTGTTATTTCGTCACCAGCATGACACACATAAAACTCATGTTTTTAAAATTAGTTTTTGTGTTTATTTTGAAGTCTATTTTAATTATTTAAAAAGACATTCTGCACGTCTACAGGACAATATCTTTCTAACAGTGTCGCATAGATTTTCCCTGCGATGCACACGAGGTGAGAAAAAAGGTTTTCAAGAAACATGCTTGCCTATTAATATACACCGTGTCCCAAAAAAACCGAACCATTTTAAATTGTTACATAATACGTCCAGGCATACCTAGTCTACTTTGAAGGTGATCATATGATAACTGAGCTAATGAAGTTTTGTTCAATATCAATTGTAACTATCAGCTGATTCATTGTTGTCGCTTGAAACTTGAAATTTAAAAACATTGCCCTGTCATTAAGCAGGCACCATGAACGCACGAGAGAAAGCGCAATGCATTGAGTGGTACATTCAAAGTAAGTCAGATATTGCAGTGCAAAGAACATTTTAGAAGACGCTATGGTCGACGTCCTCCATCACGGAACAGCATTCGAGCCTGGTATGACAAATTTATGTTAACTGGAAGCTTACAACATTTAAAAGGTAAAGGTAGGCCGAAAATCCAAAATGAATTAATTAAAAAAAACTTGCAACAATTATTTCTTCACGACCCTCGAAAGTCTGTTCGCTGTGCAGCATGTGAGTTAAATTGTCAAATTTATAAGTTTATAAGACAGAAGTTTCCGATGTCCGAGAATTGAGGCAAAGAATAAATGCAGCCTTTACTAAAACATTACTGACATTACTTTTAACATTACTGACGAAATGCGCCATAGAGTGTGGGCTGAATTGGACAGCCGTATTGACTATCTTTTTGCCAACAACGACAACCATGTTGAAAATCATTAACACATATGATATCAAACAAAACTTAGGAATATTTGTGTCAGTTAAAATGTAATTAGTTTATCGTGTGATTGTTAATTAACTTTTTATAAGTAAATAAAATTGTCCAGTTTTTTTTGGGACACGGTGTACAGTGTGTAAATTAAGTATTGAAACAAATCTGTATTTTTAAAACCGAAATAGATAGAAATATTCTGTTGGTGGCAATAATTGTTAACAAAAATTCCGCAATTTTTTACATAAAAAATATTTTTTAACTCCCCTAACAGGGTAGTGGGTAGGGGTTGACTCATTTTTTTCAAATAGCAACCCCTATTGAGTGACATCATTTTGAAGGATGTGTCAAAAGAAACACAAAGAAGCAAACCCGAGGTGGATATCTCACCCCTAGCCAAAATGGCAGGCATTCCAAAACTTGATTTACTGTATGTGAAAAAGCACCGATTTCACAAATAATGGAAAAAAATCTGTATTCTTGAAACCGAAACAGATAGAAATATTCTATTTGTGGAATTGATCGTTAACACAGGTTCCGCAGTTTTTTACATCAACAATATTTTTTCAACCCCTTTAAAATGTTAGGGGGTGGGGGTGACTTATTTTTTTCAATAACAACCCCTGTTGAGTGACCCCTCATTTTGAAGGGTTTGTTAAAAGAAAAACAATGATGCAAACCCGAGGTAGATATTTTCCCCTAGCCTAAATGGCGGGTATTCCAAAATTTATTTTTTAGCGAATAAGTTAAATAGTACTGTATGGGTCTAAAATGAATGTGATCTGTCTGTATGTGTGTGATTTTCTTTTCTCGTTCTTTTTTAATTTTTATTCGTCACAGGAGAGAAGTTTCCTTCAATTTATCTGTTACAGGAGCGGACGTTTAAGGGATTTATCTTTTTCAGGAGGGGAGTTATTTTTTTATTGCTATGTATGTCTTGATTGGTAGGTATTTATAGTATAAGACCGGAGTTTACACGCATTTTTTCGTTACGGGTGCAGATTTATTTATAATCACCCTGATACAGGATGGATGTTTTCTCTGATTACTCTGACACAGGGTCAGAGTTTTCTCTGATTAATACGGTACATCATCGGGGGTTTCTCTGATTAATCTGGCAGAGCATCGGATTTTTCTTTGATTAATATTTAATCTGTTAGAGCATAAGAGGTTTCTTTGATTAATCTGGTAGACCATCGGAGTTTATTTTAATAATCTATTACAGCATCGGATTTTTCTTTGATTAATCTGGTACAACATAAGGAGTTTTCTCTGATTAATCTGGTACAGCATAAGGAGTTTTCTCTGATTAATCTGGTAGACCATTAGAGTTTTCTTTCATTAATCTGGTAGACCAGTAGAGTTTTCTTTAATTAATCTGGTACAGCATATGAGTTTTCTCTGATTAATCTGGTAGACCATAAGAGTTTTCTTTCATTAATCTGGTACATCATCGGAGTTTTCTTTCATTAATCAGGTACAGCATATGAGTTTTCTCTGATTAATCTGGTAAATCATCGGAGTTTTCTTTCATTAATCTGGTAGAGCATCGGAGTTTTCTTTCATTAATCTGGTACAGCATCGGAGTTTTCTCTGATTAATGTGGTACAGCATGAGGTGTTTTCTCTGATTAATCTGGTAGAGCATAAGAGTTAGTTTTCTTTCATTGATCTGGTACATCATCGGAGTTTTCTTTCATTAATCTAGTACAGCATATGAGTTTTCTCTGATTAATCTGGTAAAGCATATGAGTTTTCTCTGATTAATCTGGTAGAGCATAAGAGTTACTTTTCTTTCATTAATCTGGTACAGCACATGAGTTTTCTCTGATTAATCTGGTACAGCATATGCGTTTTCTCTGATTAATCTGGTAGAGCATAAGAGTTACTTTTCTTTCATTAATCTGGTACATCATCGGAGTTTTCTTTCATTAATCTGGTACAGTATATGAGTTTTCTCTGATTAATCTGGTACAATATCAGAGTTTTCTCTGATTAATCTGGTACAACATCGGAGTTTTCTCCGATTCTTCTGGTACAACATCGGAGTTTTCTCTGATTCTTCTGGTACAACATCGGAGTTTTCTCTGATTCTTCTGGTACAACATCGGAGTTTTCTCTGATTCTTCTGGTACAACATCAGAGTTTTCTCTGATTAATCTGGTACAACATCGGAGTTTTCTCTGATTCTTCTGGGGCAGGAGCTAAGGCCGGAGACTGTAATTGATCCCAGCATGAGCGTCCACATAGGTGAAGTAAATAAGGCATGTTCCAATATTGTTTCTGACCGTTGTGTATTCGCACGATGGCCGTCGATGATCCGGGGGCAAAGTTTGTGTCTTATCAGAGAGAAAAACACTTGTTATCACTACACAGACGTATCTCCGTCCCTATGTCTAGACTGAGGTTCTCTGTGCTTGGTGTGTCGTTTTGCAATTAATTGTTTAAAAGGTTTCACGCGTAAAAAGTGTGGTCATGTAAACTGTTTTCAAACAAACCATTTAGTGTAAGTAGTGTTACGAATTGTCTTTTACATGTCTTTGTTCCTAATCCTTGTGAATGCTTAGTTTGTGATAATGTCCGTGAAAGCAAACGATAATGTAAATTCTTTAAATTTAGTTTTATTTTTTCACCCAATTTTTGAAATAAAATGTACAACTTTGAGAGCATAGCGTTATTATGTTCACACAAAGTTCTGTACTATGTTTTTTTAGGTTTATAATTGCAAAGGATAACTATTTTGATTTTAGGTTATAGACTTTTCCTATGCCAAGTTGTTTGACTACACTATGTACGTTTCTATGGAGTTATTGAAACTCCTCCCGTTTTTAAGTAACTAACTATTAATCTACATTTACCTACCTGCAGTGTTTTTTCTCTTGGAGGAGAACAAGAATATAAATAAATTACATCCAATGTATCATTACATCATTGCAGTATCAATTAATTATATTACGTAGCTTTATAGTATTTTCATGACTGATTTGTCAAACTTTCACAAATCCATCAAAGTTTCCATTAGTAAGGCCCCTATTACACGAGGTAGCCTGGCGACGTCGCCAGCGGCAGTAGCTGGCGACGCACTGGCCACCAAACCTATAACCAGTTGAGTAGCCAGTTGAGTAGCCAGAATTTTACCGCCGTGGCGCCGTTGTTGTGAGTGCTTGTCTTGCACTTGTACTTGTTATGAGCGGTGTTTACAGTGAATAATGAGTGATTATAAGTATCTTCTCCTTCTGTTACTTCTGAAGAAAAGGAGGCAAAAAGGAAGAGAAAAATGTACGTTCATCCAATGCTTAGTGCAAGAGAATCAAAAGGGTTATATTACACCCTTTTTGATGAGCTCTGTGCGGACAATAAAAAATACCCCCGCCGCAGCAAACCTGCCGACTAAGCGAATTTCCATTTGTCTGAATTGATTTTCAGTTAAATATATTTTAATAACATTAGGATTAACGAGTACCTAGGTTTGCTGCTACAAGGAAACTAATAAAGTGTGTTTTTGAGTAAAATATTGATAGCTTAGTACAAAATAAATAAATTTGCCAAGTTTTATCAAAATATATCCATAAACAAGCAAACTACAACATTTGACAATTTCTCCATAAGAATAACATGGGAATTTTAAATTTACAATTTTTTTAATTTTCTCCGTTACTAATAATCAAACAAATATACTTTTATATACTAAATTATTTGTTTTTTTAAGCTCTTTAAAAAGGTCTAAAGATAAATCGGGATATTTTGTGTTTTGAGGGTCAAAAGTGAGAAAAACCAATTTTTACCCCATAAAACCCCCCGTAAAGCCCCGTTCCCATGGTCCGATCGTGCTGGTTCGCGAACTCATTCAAGTTTATCCTGCTTTACACCTTTAAACCAAATTTCATCAAAATCGGACAAAAATTACTCAAGTTATCGCGTTCACGGACGTATATATATATATATATATATATATAAGTCTATATATATATACATATATAAAAATTTGAACGAATGGTGTTTTTGGCCTCTGGGGACATCAAAATGAAAAAGTAAATCGGTCCCGGGTCTAGGTCTTACCGTGCCACCTACGGTAATAGCTACTTCCCTATAGGGAAATTCGCTAAAAATGTTTCAATTATTTTCGTATGTCACAATCCAGTTTCTTCGAGTCATAAAGGATGATATAGACATTTTATCAACTGAAGTGAACAATTCACACACTTACAACACAACAGAACGCAACACAACAGTGTGCAAGTACCCCCGTGATATGAACTAACCGAGTGGCGACGTGATACTGGCGACCTAACTTAGTGTAATAAGCTCCATATGCTACAACGCAGCGTCGCCAATATGGGTAGCCAGTGGCTACCACAGTGGCGACGGGGCTCGGTAGCCAGTCGGTCGCCGAAGTGTGGCTGCGTCGCTGGCTACCCTCGTGTAATAACATCCATAAGAATCAATGCCCCATGACAAGCTGAGTAGCCAGTTTGGTCGCTGGCGACGTCGCTACCGAGCCCCGTCGCCACTGTGGTAGCCACTGGCTACCCATATTGGCGACGCTGCGTTGTAGCATATGGAGCTTATTACACTAGGTCGCCAGAATCACGTCGCCACTCGGTTAGTTCATATCACGGGGGTACTTGCACACTGTTGTGTTGCGTTCTGTTGTGTTGTGAGTGTGTGAATTGTTCACTTCAGTTGATAAAATGTCTATATCAACCTTTATGACTCGAAGAAACTGGATTGTGACATACGAAAATAATTGAAACATTTTTTATTGTCCGCACAGAGCTCATAAAAAAGGGTGTAATATAACCCTTTTGATTCTCTTGCACTAAGCATTGGATGAACGTACATTTTTCTCTTCCTTTGCCTCCTTTTCTTCAGAAGTAACAGAAGGAGAAGATACTTATAATCACTCATTATTCACTGTAAACACTGCTCATAACAAGTACAAGTGCAAGACAAGCACTCACAACAACGGTGCCACGGCGGTAAAATTCTGGCTACTCAACTGGCTACTCAACTGGTTATAGGTTTGGTGGCCAGTGCGTCGCCAGCTACTGCCGCTGGCGACGTCGCCAGGCTACCTCGTGTAATAGGGGCCTAAGTACAACGGTCAAATAACTCTGATGATCTTCTAAAGGTTTATAAAATATGATATTGAAGCTGTTGGCTGTTGTAAATGTTATGTTTCGACATTAATTCATCATAGTTTGTAATAAATTAAGTGTTTTTGTTTTCCTTAAAATCGTATGTCGGAAATGACGAGTTTTGCGTGTTACTTTATTGGCAGGCCTATACCACATACGAAATTATTTCATGTTAATGTATTTTTTAGTAAATTAGATGTTTTGAGCATTCATTGTCGTATGTAAGAATTGAAGTGTTTTCACGTTTACCTCAATGCCGACAATTTCCTAATGGTTTACGCATTCTTCCATATTACAAATGAGGGATTATAGTATCCCTTATAGTTTTTATATATTTACCATAGTGATGGGTGTTTAGGTCTTCCTTAAACAATTTAACGAATTGTGATGACCAGAGTTCGTATCTCTTGTTATCATTTATCTGATTCTTCTATCATCGGCGCCACGGTGTCGCTCAAATGTATATTTTGGCGTCTGTCGCGGAGTGCGGCGTCGAGGAAACACGGATCATCTCCAATTGTATAATGAGAACAATTAAGCCCACTCCAGTATCCAGCGATGGATATCTGTAATGGAACTGGACCCAGGAAAGTCTGTGTTGATAGAACGGGATTCGAACCAAACTTTTAATACGTGTACCTGGTAGGTGGTTGCTATGGAAACGATTGTCTGTTTGCGTTGTACGAACCTAATTGCCACAGCAACGAATTGGATTGCCGATAATATACAGGTATTTAAAAAAACTCATAGCGGACCAATCTAGGTGTGTCAATATAGTCTGTATGGCGGAACCTGTCTTCTGACCCATTTATTTTGGGGCCAGAGCCTTAAACTTGACTAGTCACCAGGTAGACCTGGTCAGGAGATAGGTTCCATTATACAGACATATGAGGATCTCCAGCTCATTCATGAGAAAATTAGAAGCTAGGTTCTTGATCATTTGAATTTTAATGGTAAAAATAAACAGCTGGCCTTAGTGACAAAGCTGGATCATCTGTCTTGTATTCATAATCAGCTGAAAATACGTACCATAGTGTCCACTTGTCTTTAAAGATTGATTTGGTCGATTAACTGATAGATAGATTGAATTATTGACTGAAAGTTGAGTCTGAAAATATTATTGTGAAGCAGATACATAATTTCACTTCTCAAACCTATAACTAGTTAAAAATTTATGTAGGCTAAAGAAAACACAATTTACTATTAAGAAACATAACGGTACAAATAGCTGATCCATAGAATCTACAAGAGTCACCATAGAGAACCGTGTTTAATGCGTGGATTTAGATGAAAAACTAATGTAAAGTTTCGTTCTTAACAACACATTTCAAACTCGGAAAAATTGAATAATGTAGGTACAATGATACAGGTTATGTTACAGCAATGAAGATAACCAATGCAATTTCTAACTAGTAGTTTAGTGAAAACGATATATATTTTTTCAATATATTTTCATGCAGGATTAACCTAAATCGTGAAATAACTGTTTAAATCAACTTTATATGATAAAATGTTGCCCCCCTGAAGTCTGTTTGGTCCTAGAAACCAAATAGCTTCGATTTTATGATGTTTCAACATTGTTGATGTGACAAACTCGTAACTGGCGCCAAAAGAATTATTTTCGAAGAGTTGGGTCAAGGAACGGCGCCGGAGTGGACGGTTCACTTCCATGCGATGACCTACGGCTTAACACATAATTAATTTGTATCTCGTCTCAATACATTGTTAAAATCTCAACAGAATTATTCAGGCTGTTGATTACATAACTGAAATATTTCCTTGACACAGCTGTAGTATCGTCCAAGTCTTTAAAGTGATCAATACTCAAAGCTCAAAGCGTTTCGAATATTAGCATTGGCTTATCATTTAAATTTTCTTGGTGACGCGACTCATAAAAAGTTTGATAAGGTGAGTTGTGAATACTGACCTCTAAAAATCCACTGACGCGCGGTTTCAGGAACTGTTGATTTATAGATTTTTTAGTAATTTGCTGAAGAGAGGAAGTGGTTTTTGAAACTTCGTAAGAATATTTCAAGGTTTTCCAAAAAGTAAGATCTTGAGCATTAGGTCATCGGAGTGAATTTCAAAATATTACGTTCTTTGAAAATAGTTCCTGCTAGCAAAGTTTCCTAAGAACTGGTTCTTCCCTGTAAATTCTTTGAGTAACGAAATTTTGTACAATTCTCTCCTACATTTAAATTAAGTACATCTTATACGTGCCATTAGTTTAGAGCTCGAAGAAGTTCCGAATCCCAAAAATCCCCCGAAAATCTTAGAGGCTTAATTAACGCATAGTTTTTTAGAAGGTAAAATTTCTATTTGATCTTAATATTATATTTGAGTTTTATTGTAAAATAGATTCAGCAGA